CAACCGACTCGTACTTACGACGGTTGCAGTGTCCTGGGGTCACGTGCCTCCTTTTGGCAACCTTCTGACGAGCAAATTCAACAGGGAAGCTGGATTCACTTAATGACCGGTTTACTAACTTAAGGGACGGCAGCGATTCACTTAACAATGGTGGCAGGGGAGAGGTTGTAAAATGGGGAGAAATTCAGTCAACGGCTGTCCCGTTTGGCAGCAGAAATTTGGGGCTCAACCGTGGTCATAACTTCAGGACTGCTTCCAGCACCTTCTCTAGAAATTTAGCTCTTGGTACTAACACCCAGGGGTGGGATTCTACCAGTTCACACCTATTTGCTAGAACCGGTTGTTAACATTCTAAGCAGTTCGGAGAACCAGTTGTTAGAGGAAATCTCCTTTTATTTTTTTCCATTTTACTGGGCTAATCCTGTAAGGAAGGCAGGAAGGAAACATTCTGGTGTTGCTTACAGAAACTGCCTCTCTGTTAACCCTTATTACATTCTTGGCAGGACTAGACTTCCTGCCTCAGGAACTTCTCTGGAGTTTTTTCCCCTCCTTTGCTGGTACTTTGCTTGTGTGGAGGGACCATTCAAAGTTACAATGGCACTGAGAAAAGTGACTTATGACCCTTTTTCACACTTACGACTGTTACAGCATCCCCACAGTCATGAAAGGCCAGGTGAGGAGATGAGTGCCTCTATGTGAGTGATATTGAGTTGGCCACGCCCAGCCAATAACATGACCACCAAGCCATGTCAACCACCTAAGCCACTCCCACAGAACCGGTTGTTAAAAAATTTGAATCCCACTCCTGCTAACACCGCTCTGAAGTAGGATCAAATGAGCCTGGGATCAGTGGCACTGACTGTGTCACAAAGATTACCATTTTTATGGTTCGAGCTATTCAACACCAGCTCTATCCCTGTGCTTCACTACGAAACTATGTGGCTGGGCTTAGTTTTTTGGGAGGAAAATAAGGGGGAAAAAATCCTGCCTCTGCCTACCAGCATCCATCAGTATTTATCTGGCTAGCGTCCTGTTGGTGTGAGAGAGAGTTGAGGGCTGTTTGGAAACTGAAACAGTATTTGCTGTGTGAGCAAGAAGGAGACAGCAAGGAGCCTGGGCATGGCTTAGCTCAGCTGTTCTGTACTAAAAGCTGCTTGGTGCTGTGAAACTAAAACTGAAAGTGAAACTCCTCTCCTCTGCTTGTGTTTTGCCTTTGGAAGAGATTTCTTTTCAGCTGGGGAGAGGGAGTAGAACTCTTTAGCATCAGAGCGTGTTAATAATAATAATAATAATAATAATAATAATAATAATAATAATAATAATAATAATATAGGAAATACTTTAAATGCTCTGATGGTCATTTTGAAAAATCCTTTCTTAGTGAGCATCTGGAAGCCAAGAAGAACATAGGTGCCAAATTTCAAGTTTGTAGGCTTTACGGTTCTGGAGATTTTGTGATGATGCCTGAGTGGTCATTCTATATCTATCTATCTATCTATCTATCTATCTATCTATCTATCTATCTATATATATATATATAAACACACACACACACACACACACACACACACGGGGAATAATAATAGGGGAGTATCTATCTATCTATTTATCTATGCGTATGTGTATGTATATGTATAAGACACCTAAACCTATATATCTATTTGTAGATTTTCACGGTACAGGTATGTAGGTTTAGGTGTGTTCAGGTCTTTTCCTGTGTAAGATTAAGAGTATCTTGGCGATGTTTCGGCGAGGTTCCACATATATGTGCATTTTTTTTGCAGAATGGTCCAGACAAAATATCCGGAGAGTTTTTTCCCCCGAATGCCATCCCTCTGCTAAACAAATAATTCCCTCAACCCTGTCCAACTATTTACTAGGTCTGCATTACTATTACTGTTAATCTTCTCATCGCTCCTCATCACCCATCCCCTCCCACTTGTGACTGTAGGGCTGTAACGTTGTCACTGGTAGCCTTACTATTCATATTGACTGTTTACTATTATGATTTGATTGCTTATTTGTAACCCCATGACTATCATTAAGTGTTGTACCTGATGATTCTTGACTCTTGATGAATGTCTCTTTTCTTTTATGTACACTGGGAGCATTTGCACCAAGACAAATTCCTTGGGTGTACAATCACACTTGGCCAATAAAAGAATTATATTTCTATTCTATTCTCATTCTCTTCTCTTCTCTTCTCTTCTCCTCTCCTCTACTATTCTACCCTATTCTACTCTCCTCTACTCTCCACTCCATA